GAATATCCTGCGTGAGCAGTTGCGTTAACAGTCGCATCGCTGACTTGCCCTCATCCTACATTAAGTCGCATTTAATTACTGGTAGAGAATACATGCGCTGCTTGAATTTAGTCTCATACATTCCTTCCCTTCTTTACTGGCCACCTTCTTTGTGCTGTATCTACCAATATACCAATATTACCCACACATTTTTAAAGTGCTTGATGTATTTACAGCAGAAAAAAATCGCGATAGAAGAAAGGTTTTTCTGGGTCTCGAATCATTCGAAGTCCGGATCGTATCTTTTGGAGACTGACAACTGTCATCACTGCTTCGAAGTTGGTTTGCGGTAGGAGTCGTAGCTTTCTTGATGCTCCTAAAAACTGATGGCAACTTCATGTTAGAAAACTGTTATGTTACATAATCGTTACAGGCCCATCTGTGCCGTCTTTCAAGAAAATACCTTCTGTCGAAGTCGTATGAGTTGTTCCTGTAAGGACTGTGGGATTCAGTCCCGTGCTGATTATTCAGAGCTCCTTGGTTACCATCAACTAGTTACTTGCTATGGATCCATCAACAAGCTCTGTTCTTAGAGATTAAGAGAAAAGAGGCTTCAAAATTTCAATGCGAACAAAACCAATAAATGTGAACAATAAATAATAAAATAATATACATAAACAATTATGTTTCCTGAAAATAAATCAATGTTACAGAAGGAAATGAGTAAAAATTGATTTTTTTTTTCTTGACCTTGTTAACTAAATCCAGTGAAATATTCTTCACTTAAATACAGAAGAGCTTGTGCAACTTACTTTCCAATGAAGTGAGAAAGAAGAAATAGAGTTTTAAATTATAAATGGAAACAAAATAAAACAGAGGGATGGGACAAGCCTTGTAGCTAAGACAAGCTCGTCCATTTGCTCTTTCAAGAAGGAGGGTTTTTTTATAGGGAGAAGTGGTCCCTGTTAAGTTATACTCAAAGCTGTACTGTAATGTACATTTAAAGGAGGAACATTGTGGTAAATCTTACTTAGCAGCAAAACATGTAATTTCTCTTTACTATCCCTTTAGGTTTGGAGGTTTGGGAGGGTTTTTTGCTTTTGCAACATGTAGCAATGAAATGCTGCTATCGAGAAAATGTGCCATTTTACTGAAGGCAAATATGAAGCAAACTCCCTCAAGCCGCCAGCTGAGACTTGTGAATCAGTATTTCAGCACTGACCTTTTTATGCCTCTTATTTCCATTCCAGTTCTTGAGATCTGATGATTAACCCAATGAAGTAATGTTTAATCATTTAACCTTCCTTTGCCTGTATTGTAGCAGTCACAGGAAATTATTTCCAAACCGAAAACCCAAATCCTATTTGAAAGGGACATAGTGAGCTAAAGTGTCCTGAAATGTTACAGAGAGTGAATCATATTAGCTGAGAGTCGAGTCCAGTCTAGATACTTTAATTTTGGGGGAAAATGTTTTGTCTGTAAGTAGCTGAACTTTTATGTCTTTTATTATTATTTTTTTAAGCAGTAAGTTGTGAGAGTTGTTTTGCTTTTATTTCAAATGCTTAAAACAAAGAGAGAAAAGATTGTTCCCTGCGTAGGCTTTATAACAGAACGATTATATTGTGAAATAGGTAAAAGTTGTGAAACTGATGATTGTATTCTCGGAGAAATGAAACTTTTAAGGTTTTTTATTATTGCAGATGTCGCAAAGATTTGACAAACGAAATTTAAGGAAGCAACCAAACAGAAGTATTTCTGAACTTGTTTTCATGAAAGTAAATGTTGAGGCTGCAAATACATAGTTTTGTTGCAACCCTGATGTATGTATTACCATGCAAATTACTTGTAGCTATAATTACATTAGATCGTAGAAAATAAGAGGGAAAAAGTCCTTAATTTATGTCTTTTGACTTATATAGAAAGTTTGAAAAAGGAAGACAAATTAGAAGTTCTTGACTGAAATTTTTAGAACTGTAGCTGTGCTTTCCATGGAGTACTTTGTAATAGACAATGGATGTAAAAAAACCTTAAAAGGAGAAACAATCTGAGTAACAACTTTAAAAAAACAAAGTTATGAATTAATAAGGTGAGAAAAATTGCCCCAACATTGGTTTGGGGTTGTTTTTTGGGTTTGGTTGTTTTGGTTTTTTTGGGGTTTTTTTGGTTTTTTTTTTGGAGAGAGACAAACTTGTTACACTTTTTTTCAACACTCTTTGCTTTTATAACAAAAATTGTATGGTTTTAGCTGGAGGGAAAAAATTAGTTTTAAGGCAGCCTTGAATTTTGTAGCAGTCTAGAAATGTGGGTGAGGGAAGCTGTTTATTTTTAAGAAATGTGATGAAAAATGGTGCGCTGTGGTCACACTACGTTAATACAGCCAATCTATATAGTTATAATAATATATTTTATTAAACCAGCTGTGCTGCAAGCATTAGTTTATAGGTCACTTGCTAGAGAGTTTATTTCCAATTCTCGCTTGTGAAAATTAATACAACAGTGTATTAGCAACACAGTCTAAGATAATGGATAAATATGTTAAAATTAGAATAGAAACAACTTCCATTGAAATGTATCATGGACCTATTTGAATTACTGGATTGTAGTGTTTTATTTTAAAGATACTGTACTATAAGATTTATGGAGCTGTGAAAAATATCTTTATTGGCTTAGAAAAGTGAAAATATTGTTCTAAGCCCGTGAGCATTGTGAAATGGTGAACAAAATAGGAACTGAAATGATCACGGTCCCATTCAGCTTTGTTGTGGAGTACAGGGGCAGACATCTGATGAAATCCCTACGTAAGGCACTACTCTTTCAGTTCACCTTCTCAAAGAACAAACTCTGGTGTTGCAAGGACAATGTTACTGTTACGCTCTAGCACGCTTTTTCGTTATACGTTAATTTGTAGAGAAATTCTGAAGACCTATTGCTACTTTTGCATTTGGGTAAGGAGTTTGAATGCCTGTTGTACAGTAGAATTCGGATACCTGCGTGCCGCGTTTTCGTTCCTTTCTGACAGCTGTGTGATCACACGCTGCAGAAGAGTCTTGCATCCTTTTCGGTTCACGTCGTAAATCCTCAGTGGGGCTGAATGTGGGTATTAGTGCTGACCTGTGTCAGTGCTCATATATTACCTTGTTTTGGTTTTGTTTACTGACTTGGAAATAACGACGAGGGAATTGTAGTTTCAGAAGGAACTGCCCTCGATGTTGCAAGATTTTTTGGACTTAGTTCGCTGGTAAATTATCGTGTTTTGTTTTTTTATAACGATTTGTTTCAAAATGCACTCCTTCAACTGAAAAGCAGGAAAAGTTTTACTTTACTTGCCGTGTAGACATGTTCTAGATCTTTCTGCAACACAGGTTGAAGTGTTTGGTATTGGCCTCGCTGGGAGTGGGTTTTAATCACTCATGCCTACTGTACATATCCTAGAAGTTGCACAGAAAAACATCAGGAACAAGTTTTCAACAAGGAGTGAATATTTTACCTATTCCATTTTGCAATGAGACATTCACAATCCCAACGTGTTGCTCCTGGTTAAAAGTCAGCAAATTCACCCCTTACAAACTGTTCTAAAAGGGTTTTTATATTCTCCTGTGGCTAAAAATGTTCCACTGTAAGATGTAGGAAATCTCATTTATTTGGCTTTTTTTTTTTAAGTTGAAGTATTTGTTTTAATTTGGGTTATTTTTTCAAATATGAAGTGTAATAAATAGAATTCTTCTGATTTCAGTAAGAAGTGAGGGTTTTTATCTGAGAATTTAACTATTTCTAAAGTACTGCAATGAAGAAAAGTTACTACTTGAAAAAGGGGTGTAAAAAGATAGTAAATGGCCTGATCACAGCTATTAGTGTCTTTAATCTGGCATAGAAGGTTTTGTCAGTTCTGTAGTTCAGAATTTAAATAATATGCAAGAACATTGTCAGTTAATTGTAATTTACTTACATTGGCAGAGAGTATGAAGGTTTCAACAGATTTGTAACAAAGTTAAAATTGCATAAATGTAATTCTTCTGGATTATTTTGTAGTTATCTTGAAGTATGGAATTTAGAATTTCATTAATTATTGGTTAAAGTAACTTCCTTGTGAAATTTATCTGATCGTTTTCTACAAAATTCAAATCAGTGAATATTATATTGCTACTGGAAAATCAGCTTTTTATTGCTTATATGTAGGTTTTTAAAACATTATAATTACTTTAAAAAGTTTGCTATTACCAAGGATACTCAGCTTGTTATAACTACTGTTGCCAAACCTGAATAGAAAATATCGACCCTGTTTTTAACTTTTGGGACAGTTTGGCTTCAAGAGAATTTGGCTTTCATGTAAATTCACTTCTCCCATTCAAATGAACTGCTTGTGAGAATCTTTATTTTTGCTTTTTAAAATGTTTACTGTTTATCTGGTAAATATTGAGACTCTTGAGTATGTTTGAAAGTTTTGATCACAAAATAAAAGTAGGCAACGTGTTCTTAGTGTGTTTTTGTAAAGAATAGCTCAAATGTTCTATGGTCTGCCACCTTTTTTGGTGGTCTGTTGTAGAGAGTACCTGGAACTAGCGATTTGGATTAGGATCCTGGGTTTGAGAGTAAAGATCTCAGGATATAATGGGTTTATTAGATTCTGGCTTTGTGTTTTGAGAAAGTAGCTTTTTAACATTGTGAATGGTATTGAAGGAATTAATTCCCTGTGCTTGTTTAAGAAATAAGGTACGAGCAGCGCCGACAATTCAAAGGTACAGGGAAATAAATACTAGAAAACCTGTTTCCATAGGAGTGTGAACTTAGGGCCACTTGCAGGGTTTTGAAAACCAAAACTCAATACATGTGGGTGGTCGGATTTTCACACTGAGCACTGTGAATTTCTCTCTCTTCCCTCTAAGCTCAGAGTCTTAAATTGGCCTTTTTCTTTTAAAAAATTCTCCTAAATGCTAATTAGGAAATCCCAAAGCATGGAGGATTCTGAAATCACATACATTTGGGGGTTTTGCCTCATTAACGCTCCGTTTCCTTCTTTGCAGGATTTTGCATCCCGGGCTAAACTGGCCGTCCAGAACCTGGTGCAGAAGGTTGGGTTCTTCGGCATTTTGGCCTGCGCTTCAGTAAGTTCGTTCCAGTAACAGAGGGGTTCGTAGGCACAAGTTGCGGATTGAATGTATCGCAATGAAACTAATGCTGTGAAATGTGACTTGGTTTTATTTGAGTCCATATGGGTCCTCGTGCCTCCTTCGGTATTTCTGCGTCCTCTGTGGTACTTGGAGAAATGGGATGGTTGTGGTACTGGCAAGTACAATAGCGTGGAGAAACTCCAGTTCTAGATTAGTACCAAACACAGTGAATTCTGCACAAAAGCACAGCTAACTGCTGTTATCCCTTCCTCGGCTTCACCGCTGGGCTGCTTGAGACTAGTTCTCCTTGGGAGAAAATGAGTTTGTAATAGATCTATTTCCTTTTTAATCCATCAGAAAAGAATGGTGCAGCAAGGGATCTCTTTTTTCAAAGGGTAAAGCAATTCATCGTATAGTTCAGCACGGTGTGGTGAAACCTGATAAAAACAGGTCTGTTCACTGAAGACTCAAAAGGCTTCTCACAGTAAGGAAGACAAGAGACTGAACTAAGCCGTTCTTAAAATTCGAGAGGTTTCTATGCTTCTGTTTCAGAGCAGGGGTGCTCCCTGCATTTAATGTTGAGGCCGTGTCTTCTCTAACGGAGACATATGCCCACTGCTGCGTTAGGGGTATGTGGCAAATCAGATCATGTGCCTGCTGACAGTTACCCTCTTGGGACTTTCCTAGCCCAGATTATTAGCTGGCAAGATACAGCAAGAGCTGTCTTATTACCTATAGGTTCTACTGGAACCATAGTATTATTTCTTTTGGTGTTTATGTCCTATAGCTTACAGTACTTGACGTCTTCAGGTCCAGAGATAGACACAAATTGAAGAGTGGAAAACTAGCTGTATAAATCCTGATGAGGATATCCATCCACAGTAGTCTTCCGAAATCTGCTCTGGAGCTACCTTTGGGGCACCAGGAGCCAGAGGGAGCAGAATGAGGAAGCCAGTTTCAGAGTCGTGGCTATACAAACTACAAACCACTTGTAGGGGTTTTTTTTCTTCTCCAAGCAAGAGTTGATATGAGCATCTCCACTGATGCTATTTTAGTGTTTTAAGGAGGATAATACTGTTCTTTTGGAGTAGAAAAATATTGAACCAGTTGAGGCCTAAATTTCTCTCTGGAAGCTTAATGAAAACTGGTAGGAATGGGGTGCCTTATTCTTCCATCCCTCACACAAAATGTGGGATGTGATGCACAGAAATGTGATTACAGTGGAAAAAGTGTAGGTCCCCTGTGATCCCATTCTTCTGGAATAAACAGAGCCATTAGCCAGCTGCTCAGCTAATGAGGTATTAATTCCACACTTATCTAGCATCTCTTTTAGTTTCCTAAATCGTAGAGATGACAATGCTAGCTATTTGCTCAAATGTACGTAACCTGTGTTAGCTGGAAGGAATTAATCTGATTAAAGGTGCTGGCATACGACTTCTGTTTACTAATCTTTTGAACTATATTAATGTTTAGAGTGGAGATGTAGGTTACAAGCTGTTCTTTAAATCTTTCCATCCAGTAAGCTCCCAGACTGCTCCTTCGCTGCCTCTGACTCATTGCTCTCTAGTCACCATCTCGTGAGACATCACTGCACAGGCTGTTCTCTCTGTCTTGTGTCATCAGAACGACGGCTTGTAGATGGCAGGGATGAGGTACTGCAGTGGCTAGACAAGGTGAAACGTGGATAAATGGAGACATGAGGAAGGAGTTGGTAAACATGAGAGGTG